TGAGGGAGTGACATTTAATGAGCACAGGCATATCCTCATCCAGATCTGGGTATTTAATTACACTGCGCTGTTCCGTCTACCTGGCCTCGCGCTCCAAACATTAACTCCGACTCGGCGCGCGCCGTGGATGATGAACGGCTCCAGCCATTGTGCCGAAGAGATGTTTGCAATTTCTCTCTCGCGTGATTAATCAATCCCAAACGCGCACAAGCTCGTTCAATTACGCCGCGTGCGTGGGGCCCATATTGATCGTTTTATTTCTGAAATAAGTGGGAAGGACGTAGGCTCGCTGCCAGCTCTTAATTATGAAATATCATTCGCGGTTGCCATAGAGATGTGACACGGTAATGAGGAACGAGTCTTAAGCGCCCAAACTTCTGACAGGAAAAAACGAATTATTTAAACTGACTTTAAAAACGGAGAGCAAGTAATACAAGGATGTAATATAGATTCTTATTGGACATCAAAGCATGTTTGCAATGTTAATAACGCAAAACACAGTTTTTATGTGCAGTATGAACTCCAGCATACGTAAGGATACAAAAGTGTGACTTTAACATATTTAAGAACTGCTGATAGATAAATAAATACACAATACACACGCATATACAGTGTGTGTGTGTGTGTGTGTGTGTGTGTGTTATAGGTATGTTTGTAACCTCTGATTACAATAAACAAACAAACAAACAATGTAACTTTAAATATTTAATAACCTAAAAATAAAATGTGGAAATATATAATGAAATAAATAAATAATATACATATATACACAACACACACACACACACACTGTGTTTGATTATAAACACAAATCACACTGTGTGTGATTATAAGCAAACAATAAATAAATGGATAAAGCTATGATTAAAATATAATAATACATTAATATAAATATTTTTTTCAATTCACTTCATATTAATTAACATTTATTAAATATTGAAGTTAAAGAAATAAATAAATACACACACACGCGCGCGCGCGCACACACACACACACACACACACACACACATAAATACATACATACATAAAACTGTTGGTCTCAGACATTTGGACTCCACTGTATGTTAAGCAGCCTAAATGTGCTGAATTTCATTTAATTCAAAACCATTTTTCTTGAAAAGTTGAGTTTTGGGGAGCCTCTGTATATTGCTAGTTCTGTTGAAAATAATTTCAGGAATTTTCTCTACACTTTTCCTTCCATCTCAAAGCTGTTTTCATGCTAAAAAGTTTTGAAGGTGGAAAAAGTGTGATTTACATAAACTAAGCCTGTGCTTCAAGAGTCGTTTGGAATGTCATCTGCGTTTCTCAGGGTCAATCAAGCTGTCTGCTCGACTGAAAGTCGTCATGAGCTTCACAAATACGCTCTCGCGATAACCTGCAACAGCTTTTAGCGACAAAAACGATGTGGATGATACGACGAGTCCTTGGACGCTCTTTTATCATTACAATCTACATCACAGGGCATTCTGGCTTTGTGAAATGACAAGATCCAGCCTCGCCAGCTGTCTTCATTCTGCAAGTCGTCATTTTAAAGTCTGAAACGTTCTTCTCTTATCGCAGATGTCACCACAAAAACCTCTGGTGGAGGCGCCAAAAGGAAAAAAAATTCAAATGCAATGATTTTGCATCCGTTGTCCTGAGATCTTATCTGTTTCATCAGATATCTGAATTTCTTTTATCTTTGCAAAGTCAGATTTGCAAATGAAACATCATATTTTTTGCCCTTTATTATATAAGTACTTCCTTTGCCTTCCTGTTCGCTTTAATAAGCGTTTGGCTGTAGCTTTTACTTGTGGATTCTGATTGGCTGAGTCTTTGTGAACTCAAGAGACCATCTCGCTTCAGTTTCCAAAACGCTTCTGAATCGTACGGTTTCATAATGGGGCTAGATTAGCATAACAGAGCGGCGCTTCATAGTGTGTACAGTATTTCACTCTCACTGGGACATCCTGAGTGGAATGATTCAGCTGGAATAGAAAACAATTATTTCATTTAATATCACATTCAACTGGCCTTTTTAAAAGAATCGCACAAAGGATCTCAGATGTATTATGAACAGCATTTCTGTTGCTAAGGCTAAGTATTAAAGTGTGATTGAATTAATTCAATGTTAAACTCATTCGATGATGAGATAAAAATTCTTTTGTTGTTGTTGATTTATGATTTTCATATAAAACTGGCAAGAAGAAGAGGTGACAGTTACATCTAGAGAATATTGGGGGTGAAACATGGGCCAGTAAGTAACCACCTAGCAACCATCCAGAATACCTTAGAAACCACATACTGTAGAAACATGCAAAACATCCCAGAACACCTTAACATCCCCATAGCAACATGCTAAAAACAACCAAGTACACCACCCAAAAAACACCGTTACCACACAGAATTTGTTTTTAGAGCACTTAGAATGCACAAAATATTGTCATTAAAACGACTCAGAACACCACCCAAAAAACACCTAAAACATCTTAACCACAGCACCATGCTAAATACAACTTAGACAGTAGCAACTACCTGGCACATGTGCTAAAAACAACCCAGAAGAACTTAGCAACCCCACAGCAACATGCTACACTGCTGAAAACAACAAAGGAACCCATTACAGAAATTGTAATGGTTTCTCCTACAAATACCATTAAAACCATTACAAACCGTCAACTATTAAACTATTAGTTTCCTGTAGTGTTTTGGGACATATCCCATTAGGATTTAATGGTTTTAACAAACCACCAATAGAAGGCGACCAATTACTAGTAGAGACCCACCATAGATATGTATAGGTAGGTGACACATTCAACCACTCCAGACACACAGACACGTCTGCCATCTTGAAATCTGTCATTCCAAATCTGTGATTTCTAGCAACAAAGGAACCCATTACAGAAATTGTAACGGTTTCTCCTACAAATACCATTAAAACCATTACAAACCGTCAACTATTAACCATTTAAAAAATGGTTTCCTGTAGTGTTTTGGGACATATCCCATTAGGATTTAATGGTTTTAACAAACCACCAATAGAAGGCGACCAATTACTAGTAGAGACCCACCATAGATATGTATAGGTAGGTGACACATTCAACCACTCCAGACACACAGACACGTCTGCCATCTTGAAATCTGTCATTCCAAATCTGTGATTTCTAGAATATTGCATCTTTACAATGTCACTAACTCATTGAAGTCCCCCATCTGCCATCTTGGAACGGTCAATATGCCGTCAATCACAATAAAAACCAATGAGTTTCAAGATGCCTCAACATTGCGCAGCCTCTGGTTATAAAAACTACTGAAATTTAAATTTCCTGAAGAAACTGGATAAACTTTTACAGGTAAGAATGTGTTCGTTTGTGTTTTTAGTAACTCAATATTCCAGGTTTTTAAGCTATAGTACCTTTTAAATGTTGTGTAAGCTAATGGCTACGTCTTGTTGTATTGTATTCATGTAGCAAAGTCATCTGCTGAAGTCTATTGCAGATAGGTATTCATAAATGCGTATAACTATGGTTGCAGACATACAGGCAACTTGCTCTCAAGTGTTCATGGACCGGCTTTGACATTCCATTATGGTGGCCCATAGAAACAGCCGCTAATAGGGCATCTAACTATACATATCTATACCATTACAGTTTCCATTAAAACCAATTACAGTTTCCATTAAAGCCAATACAATTCCCATTATAACCAGTAAAACCATTACATAGCAGGGTAAAACCACCCAGAACACATTAGAAACCACAAATCAGCATGCTAAAAAATAAACAGCATACCGTTTTTATCACCAATTAACTACAGTTACAGAACAAGATCAGTCTTTACTTTTAATTTAAATAAAATTCAATCATTAGTGGATGAAAAAACATCATGATAAGCGTCAAATTTAAATGGACAAATTTACTTTTTTTCTGCAAAATACCTCACTTTTTTTATTCAGTGGAAGAAAACAAGTGAGATGTGTTTGGAATAACATTACATCACTTTTTGCTCTTTTCACGCATCCTCACCCTTCTAATCTGTTCATACATTCACTGCAGTATTGTACAGGCTACAGGAGAAACACCAGATAAGAGAGCATTAGGAGACAGAGAGAGTCAGAGAGAGAGAGAGAGAGAGAAGAGAAGAAAGTGCAATTACGTTGCTCCCTCAGTTGTGTAATAGAACATGGCTTTTCATCTATCAATACACGATCAACTTAATTGTTGAGTAAAAATGAGCATGCATTTGATTGTTTACGCCTCTGTCATCATGCACGTGCCAATGCACATTTTGGTATCATAAACAAAAATCTATCATTTCCCTTTAGTGTAGAATGTAGCACCAAATTTTAATAAAAATGAAAGCATTGTCATAAATAAATTACATTTACATAAAACATTTTCTGAAACACACACACACATACATATATATACACACTTTTCCTTTAAATATTTATTTTAAAATAATATTTATTTGATGAATTAAAAATTAAATAAACTAAATAAAATAAAGTAATTTAAATTAATAATAAATATTTTAATCATATTTATAAATAAGTAATATTTATAAATTAAGTATATTGATAAAAAATAAGTTATATACAATCAAAAAGCTGTCATCTATCTATCTAGATAAAAAGAGAGAGAGAATATTTTTTGTACTAATAAAAAATTTATTTTTCTAAAATAGATAAAACGTAACAAAAAGTTATAATTTGTTTTTAGAGCACTTAGAATGCACAACATATTGTCATTAAATTATTTTATTTACACTTGCAAGAGTTAAATAAATAAAGTGTTATTTAACTAATTATTCAATTAAATTGTTTACAATTATTTAAATTACTTGATCAAAAACAATTTTTTTTGTATTATTATTATTGTAGTAATACAAATAATATATATGGCCAAAACTGGGGACTGGGGCCCTCCCTGGGCTCAACGGGGGATCAGGAGCCCTCCCTGGGCTCAACTGGGGATCAGGAGCCCTCCCTGGGCTCAACTCGGGGGCAGGAGCCCTCACTGGGCTGAGCCCACAGTCTCTTTCTCCGCAATCTCCTCTTTTGGTCTGAGGAGAGGGAGATGACCGGTGGGCTTGACAGCGGAGAGGTCAGCGAATTTGAGTGCTGAACGTCCGGCAGGCTTGTGTGAGCCGCAGCCGGCGGGCTTGACTGAGGATAGATGGCACTAATGGATGATGATCTGCTGAGGAACCGAGCCAGGCTGATGTAATCGGGCAGGGTCCACCTGGACCCAGCCAGTGGCATCCGTTTAGCGATCCCCTCATCCAAACCACCCCAGAAACAGTCCACAAGAGCCCACCGGTCGAGGGAAGTCTGCTTAGAGCAGGTGAGAAATTCGTGGATGTACTCCTCCAGCGGACGGCCGTCCTGATAAATTGAACATAATCGTTCAAGGTGATCCATTGAGGTGAATGTTGTAGGTCCGGTCTTCTGTCACGGATCAAGCCAGAGACAACAGGTAAGTGGATAAACAGGTATGGTTTATTGAGTGGATAGGGAAGCAGATCGTAAGGTTCAATGGCAGGTGAGTTTGAAGCACTTGAGACAGTTCGGGAGGCCCTGGCGGAGCAGGGAGCTTGGGGCACCATGGAGGAGCAGGTAGTCCAGGAGGCCATGGCGGAGCAGGGAGCTTGGGGCGCCACGGAGGAGCAGGTAGTCCAGGAAGCCATGGCGGTGCAAGCAGTTCAGGAGGCCATGGCAGAGCA